GCGGCTTCCCTGGCGGGCGGCTCGATGGGTACCGCGGCCCCTCTCCTCCGGGAACGTGTCCACTCCCTCTTTTGGGCATCTGGCTTCAAGCGTCGGCTTCCGCAGCACGTGGGGGCAGCAAGTTCGGCCCTCCAAGGACAGGCTGGGTGGAAAAAAAACTTAGTGTTTGTTTTTTGAACGGAAGACCTGCTGCTTTTGTGTTGTGGCCCCTCGTTCCTGTGTGAGGAGCCGTGTTTGCATGCCTCCTGCGCTAAGGTGGCGTACCCCGTGGCCTTGCAACGTCCTGCTTGAGAGTCACTGGTGCAAAACTTCCAGCAGTAGCCAAGCGCCTAATGAGCTCCATGGTATTGCCACCTCTCTTTGCCTTTCAGGGTAAATTTAAAGTTCAATGGGAGGAGAAATTTTCTCCTGGAGATGCGTGTGGCTGGCTGTTATGGCTTTCATTATTTTGGAGGGGTGCAGGTTGTAGCCATATTGGTTTAAAGACATAGGCAGACAAGGTTCTGTGGGCGAATCTGATATCTTTTATTAGACCAACTGAAATAGTTGAAAAAAATGTTTCTTAGCAAGCTTCCGGGTTTAAACACCCGTCATCAGGCTGAGGAAGCACCTGCAGTTGGTGTGCACTCATTGAGAAACTTGTAAGAGTCCTTTTTGTGGATAGGTAGGAGCTGTGCTATTTCATGGCAATAGCTTCTGACTAAAACATTAATACATGCAAACTCGCAATCCCAAAGGCATATACAGTCTGGTAGAAAAATCATACCAGTTATGCCAAGCATTAATAAAATGCTTCATAATTTCTGATTTTGTTTTTCGAAAGCACTTCGTGTTGAGGGCTACTTGTAAGTAAGTTTTAACTTTTTTTTGCCTATATGTGTTGTTCTTCTTAAATCAACATTGCTTTTTAGTAGGGAAGAGGACTTTTTTTTTTTTCATAGAGTTTCCAAAACAAGCATCTGAGCAAAGATCAAATGTGGAGTCTTTTGAAACACTAAAATAAGAAGACAATAGATGCTCAAATAGAAAATCTTTGGCAACTGTAACTTTAGTAGTGACTTGACACACAGCCCTAAAAATGGAAAGTGGGGAGAGAAGGATAAGAGGAGGGGAAAGTTCTATAGATGATGGCTCTAAATACAGTAACAGACCCCTTTTATAAAAGCACTTTTTGAACAGTCATGTTGGTTAGGAAGTGGAAGTCAGTATCGCTTTTTCAGTTCCTTTTCAAAGAGTGTTTAAACTTATTCCATGTTTATGTTTTTGTTATTTCAGATGTTGGATGAAAATAACCATCTCATCCAGTGTATAATGGACTATCAGAATAAAGGGAAGACCTCAGAGTGCTCTCAGTAAGATGTTAATATGACTGTATTTTTGTAATTAGTAAAATCAACGATGTAACTAAACTCCAGTGTGCTCACATCTTCCCATGAGAGAATTGTGCCAACTAGTTTGTAAAAACATTCCTAATGATGCTGTGTTCTTGATTTTTTTTTTTTTTTAATTTAGCTTATTAATATTTCTTTTTTCTTTTTCAAAGCGACAGAAGTTCTATTTTAATTTGATTAGCATATGTTAGATGGAATAAAATGTGTAGAACCAAAAATATATAGATTCTTCCATATGTTTCAGTGTCTTAATCATATCTTGAAGAGAAGGGTTAAATTACTTGAAAAAATTGGGAAGAAACAAGAGTATGGAAGAAGAAACTTGAAATGGATCCAAAATTTTTTTCCCCAACCAAATGTGACCTCTTCTTGCTATAAATGGATGCATAATGACAAGCCTGTTTTTGGCAAAGAAGAGTTGGTTATATTTCCATTTGGAATTAGTTAATTAATGTTAAGAAAGTCCCAACACAAACCCCTTCATCTTAACTTTCTGCATTTACTTTGTGGTGCTTTCAGATGCTGCTTGATTGGAGAGTGACACTCAAACAACTCCTTCCTGCTGCTGTTGCTTGTTCTTTGAACACTGCCCCACTAAAAGATCGTGCTTGTATCTCTGCACATAAGGTTAACAGTAGTATTAGCAGGAATTTGGCGCTTTTAATTTTCAGTGTTTTAGGTTACTAGGGAAGCAGCATTTGTAGATTCATAGATTATAGAGTCGCAAGGGACCCAATGGATCATCGTGTCTGACCCCCTGCCCCTGGCAGGAAAGAGGACCTAGGTCAGATGACCCCAGCCAGGTGGTTGTCAAGCCTCCTCTTGAAGACCTCCAAGTTAGGTGACAGCACAACCTCTCTTGGAAGCCCATTCCAGACTCTGGCCACCGTTATTGTAAAAAATGTCTTCCTAATGTCTAACCTAAATCTACTCTCCACTAGTTTGCACCTATTATTCCTAGTTACTCCCTGAGGCGCTCTGGTAAACAGCGCATTCCCAATTCCCTGCTGTCCTCTCCTGATAAATTTATAGGCGGCCACAAGGTTACCCCTCAGCCGTCTTTTGTATAGCCTGAAGAGATCCAGATCTCTCAACAGAGCACTGAGGCATAATAGGACTTTGATTGGATCTGCATTTTATAAGCTAAATGCGTGCATGCAGTAGCTGAAAATATCTCTACCAGATATTAATAGGTATATTTAATAATTCTCCCTGGTGTTCTCTGCACAGTCTTGTTTATGGGTTTCAGTAATTATAATGTTGTCTGGGTACTTAGCTTTAAATCGCCTTTTCTTGCTTTCTGTTTGCCAGGGAAGGTGGGAATTTACAATAATCTTCAGTGGTTTATTGTCTCTCCTACTGCTGCTTAATTTTTGGCAGCCTAGATGCCTGGTCTGTGTTTCTTGGTTCCTTTTGCTCCTGAACTATAATCTAGATTCCAGGACCCTTAGTCACTTATTGCCTGGTTCTGTAGAACAGTGTCAGAATCATGTATTATAACCCTATAAATTCTCTTCTATTTTGTGAAAAATACAAAGCAAGAGGTATTAAAGGGGGGGCTAGGGGGAGAGAAGCTCTAGAGAGAGAAAACAAAACAATGTTAGTTGTACCATGTGCAGCCAAACAGTCCATTTTGCAACAAAAAGATGCATTTTGTGGTAAGTGATTTTTGATAACCAAATTGCTCCAATTGGAATCACAAAGTCCATGTGGCTCCAAGTGTGAGTACTGTTTCCACACCTAAGTCACTGTTTCAGGCTCTTTGTAACCTTTAAATAGAGGCTTAAAAACTTGACTGCATGAACAATTATATTGCTGATGGCAAGAGCCAGAGTGTAGAGCACTTCAGCAGCAACAGGGGGTAAATTGTGGCAAATCCTGATCATTTGCATATGATATCCCTGATCATGATTTGCATGTAGGTATCATTTCTTGCTGCTGAGGCATGCAAATAAGAGAGAAATGAGTTCTATGCTAAGTAGTACTCATGCGTGTGTCTCCAGAGCATATGCCAGTATTGTGCTGAGGTACACTGTGCCTGACGGAGCTACCCTGTGTGAAGGAGGCTCACTATGTCTTCACACAGCACTGTAGATACCCAGTGGGTCAATCGGTAACAATGCATACGCGTTTTTATGCAGCTTAGTTTCCTTTACTTACCTGGAGCAGAGACTTAAATGTAATCTTCCTCTGTTTCTGTTGTGCTAGAAGAATGCATAGAACATGTACAGGCATAACCTTTTTCTGAATTGTCAAAACACAGATTAGCGGCAGAGATGGAAATGTGGAAAATGGGCGATTTCATAAAATAATTCCCAGGATCTTTTGAACCTTGATGGGAGTAGTGGAGTTACCATGTGTATCTACTGTATATGTAAACTTGGAGAATGTGAATGAAAAAGTTGTTGTCTCTTAGCTCCTTTTAAACCTGTCATGCTTTGTTTTGATAGGTATCAGCAGATGTTGCATACGAATTTGGTCTACCTAGCCACTATAGCAGACTCCAATCAAAATATGCAGTCTCTACTACCAGCAGTGAGTACCTTTTGTAATAATATTAGAACTGAGACAGTCATCCATATGGAATTTTGATAGTATGAGAAAACAGCAGGAGACTACACAAATTTTTGGATAAGGGAATCTCTTCATGTAGGTCCTTGGAGCCAGTAGCTCTCACTGCACAGCTTTTTTTTTTCCCTATGTTTCTCTCTCAAGCCAAGTTAAAACTAGTCCTGTGGTTTAAAAATAGCGTGCAGATGCCTTTGGCCTGACACAATGGAAAGCTCTCACCTCCTGAACTAAGGGTGTCCTTGGTGTGAAACTGTTCCACTGCTGCAGGTTTAGCCAGCTCCTGTAACAGTTTTCTGTCTTCTATATATGTGTGCCGAGTTGGGAGAAGTCATGGCCACAGCGTGACATGACAACCTCAGTTGGCAAAAATTAATTTGGCCTCTAACTGGCTCTTGCGTAATTTCTGCATCATCAGTTTATGGCACTGTATTATGATAAAGAAGTCAAAGATAATTTGCACGGGCTCACCTTTGAGTTCTTGTTTGATCTTCAGTGCTTCAGTTTTAAAATCTTGATGTTGATTTGAAATTGGTTTTTAGTTGGAACTTTTGCGAATAGATATTCTTGCAACTCTCCTTAGGATATAAATTACCATCACCACCCCTTTTTTTATCTTCATAACCTGGTCATTTAGTGACCATTGCTGTAATGTACGGGAAAGCAAAGAGAATGGTGAGGGATAATAGCGTCCACCTCTTTGCTTCCCTTGGTAACTTTATGTATAACAACATAGACCCAAACAAAAAAGTCTGTAATGTTGAATAACTCTAGGAAGTTCCTTATTTTTGGTAATGTAAGTTGAAATTTAACCAGCTGCTTCAACATGCTCTTTTTGACTTCTATGACAAGAGGTTATCGCATCAGTTTTTAAACTAAAATTGTGGTGTCTCTGGAGAGCTCTGCTCTTATCAGGGGTGGAGCATTCTTTCACTGAGTACCTAGAGTAGTGGCTCTCAACTTTGTTAGACTTGAGGCATCCTGCCAAAAATGTCAACTCCTATTTTTCACTAAGAAAGTGGTTTTTCTGTTGTGGACCACACAGATTACAGAAGGTCAGAATGTATTTAGCACAATGGAGTCTTATTTGAAATATTTGGGTTTATCTTGTGAAATATGTTTGGACACCTAATAATGCTAACATTGCATGGCATCCTTGAAAGGATCTTAATGCACCCTAGATTGCTACAGCACCCTGGTTAAGAATCACCAACCAAAAGGACTATAGGAACATGGTCCTCTGTCCAAAGAAATCTACTTATTGGTGCTCTTTTTGAGCATTGCATAATATGCAATTAATTTATTTACCTCCTTTATTTTTTAGGTCTTCTGTAATTTATATCCTGGTCCTGATCATAGGTAGAGAGGAGTTTCATCTTGCTCTGGTCATTAGTGGGCAGTTCTTTATTTGCAGTTAAATCTGGAGGCAGTTCCTACTCAAGAAAAACAGTATTGGGATAAGATGGGTTTGAGTTGTGGTTCTCAAGTTATATAGGAAAGCTTCCAGGAAATGTCAATTTCTTGCTAGTATCTTCTTTTTCTTCACTACATTTATAAATAAGCTACATGCAGTATCTTATTAGCCTTTTTTCTTTTTGGTTTTTTTTTTTTTTTTTTTTTTTTAACTGAATTGCAACTCATGGTGTGGCTTTAAAGAAAAAAAAAATGAAGCGGGCAGTTGCGTCCAAATGTGTGACATTCTGGCCAAATTTTCAAGTATCTGATTTATGTGGTAACTTGATCAGAGGATAGAAAATAGTTCACTGCATACTTAAAATCAATGTTGAACACATGGTACTGTTTTTTCACATATACAACATGTCCCTATATGTAGTATGCACTTTGTTTTTTGAGGGAACCTGACATGAGGGGAAGAAAAACGGTTCTTTATATGTAGTAAGTGAGTAGTACAGGGTTAGGTAATTATTTGGGCTGGAGGGCCACTTAAGGAGTTTTGGTGAGCTGTTGCCAGGATTGGAGATCCTCTCTGGGCCAGTCTGCTCTGCATACACCATTGGGGGTACCAGATTAAGTAGGTGGGGTCTCCACCAAGACTGGCCAGGACCCCTCTGGGCAAGGCACACTTGACTGGGCAGAGGAGATGGGGCCACGGGCAGACAGTGACAGTGCAGAGCCGGGGCCTGGGGCAGAGCTGCGATCAACTCCATACATGTCCCTGCCTTTGGAACCAGTGACTGTCATAGAGATGTACAAGGAACAAATTGGAGCCCTGCTCTGGGCCTGGCCTTGTGCTATCATTGCCCCACAGTCCTGGCCCCTACTGCCCATCTTGCTTTCAGGCACCGCTCCCGGCGGCCCCAGCCCATCCTCCTGGCCGAGTGTGCCCTGCCCAGGTCAGTTTCCAGAAAGACACCGCCCACCTGCTCCATCCAGCACTCCCAGCTGTGGGTGCAGGGTGGATGGACTGGGGTGTCCAGGCAGTGGGGCCGGATCTGGCGGTGGAGATGCTGGCACTGGCAGTCAGGCAGAGTGAGCTGTTGCTGCTGCAGGGGCTGCTATGCCGCCTCTGCCCCACGGCACAACTGGGGCGGCAGGACTGGCCTTGCATGTCATGGCCCAGGCTGCCCCCTGTGCCTAGGTTAGGTGGGGCCAAGGGACTTGCTGTGGGCTGCATCTTGCCCACCCCTGGAATAGTAGCAGATAGGGAGCCATACCCGCTGCAAGCCCTGCACACTGGCCTGCAGTAACCCAGTGTGCTGGGTCCAGGGCTGCACACTGAGTCTGACCCTGTGTACTGGCTCTAAAGCCACATGCCAGATTGGACTGAGTTGGGGACTGCCCACTAGGTCCAGGGCCATGTGTCAGGTTGGACCCAGTGCTCCAGGGCTGTGTTCAGGGACATGTTGTCTGGCTCTGGGGATCAGTTTTTCTCACACAAAATGCACATTTTATTTATTTATTTTTCCTTTTTTTTTAAACCAGTTGGATTTGCAAGACTTATTTTTCACTCTCCTTCATAGAGTAGAACCAAGATACTAACAGAACTAGGTGCCTAATCCCATATAAAGATGGTGGCTAGCGAAGTACCTGGTGGTATACAGAACTAGCCAATAGTTGCCTGGGAATCCAGTGATTCTCTGTAGCTTTGACTTCAAATTGTATTGGTTCTCTGAATAGCATTGTGGGATTGTTGATGAGCTCCAGCTGATTGGAGAAGCAGTAACTTGTATAAAAACTGCAGCACACAGCTGAGCAAGTTGTTCTTAATTCAGTGATTCACTGTGAACAGTCTCAATACCAGTCATCTGGCTTTTACTCTATTACTACTTGTTATCCTTGCTGCGAACTGACAATGGCTGCCTAAATTTGCTTAGTTTGAAATGTGACTAAGATTTGGGGGCTACAAGTCAGTGATTCGGTACTGTAATTAATTGTTACATTATCTGATGCAGTAACACCAATAATTTAACTTGGTTTATTTTTCTTAAGAATTAAGCTACCACAAGCATAGCAGTTCTAGAATATTGTTCAAGCAGTTAACCATCTGACCAATGGTGATGCTCAAATCTGGTTATCTAATGCCAGATAAAAGCCTTTGTCTTCACATTTTTGGTAAGGACAAATTCCTTTCATGAACTATGTCCCCCACTGGCCAGGGACATGGGGCATTGCCCCTGCTCACTAGCGTATGATGCACAATTTATTGGACTTATAGAAAAAGCATTCAGCTGCTTGTACAGGTTTCACTCGCTTTATGCTGTACATGCATTCCTGGAAAACGGTGCTTAACCCAAATTCACATAAAGGGAATCCACTTTACAATGTAACAAATAGGGATACATTCCAAGACCCTGACTGTACTGACCCCCAGACCCATTTGTACCATTTTTACAAGACAATTTTGGTACTCGCCAGCAGCAGACAGACAGTACACGAACACACAGTGGTAGTGATGAATGTTTAGTTGGTATGAACAGAGGGTGGTGACGGCTTTCTAATTTTGTCTCCAGTGTTAGTGAAATTCTCTTGCGCTTCATTGATGGAGCAGGGAGAGGGGTAGGAGATAAGCTAGTGGGACGCTTAGAAGCCATCATAGGGATTGCAACTACAGAAACACATCACCGATGATGAGTGAGGAGCAGAGATTCACACAGGAGACGATATTTTGGTATGCATCGTTCCCACAACGCACTGCACAGATCAGCTGATTGGGCTTCCACCACGCTGATTGCATAAGAGTGAATTTACCTCTGATATAATGAATGTTTGGTATAAAAAGGGTTATTGCATAAGAGCGAATTTGCACATACAGAACCCACAAAGAGGGAAACCTGTACACTTCTTGCTCTGAAGAGCATGAATAACAGAGCTAAAGCATCCTTTCCATATTTTAAAATGAAAAGAAGTTTTTGTGCGTATAGGGTAACAAGACTGTTTCTTCACATGAAACAGTAGGATGGTGGACAGGTGGAGCTACTCTTCTCTCTTCTTTTTCCCCCCCCCCCCCCTACTTATCTGTTGGTGTGTAAGATAAAGGAAAGGTGTGTTCCTGTAATGGGGCTTGAAGTGAATGAGGTGAGTAACACTCACTTAGATGGGTTACAGAGACCTGTATGGTGGCATCCTTTTTGGTCTCATGAGCCAGATGAGTGATGCGAGGCCAGTCCACAGGCTGGATTGGGCCCCACACTGTCCCTGTGCCTGCTGGGATTGGGCCCCATACCTGATTTAATGCCCAGAGTTGTGGTCTACAGGGAGTACCATGGGCTGCATGACACAGTGTTGAGGGCTGGATCTGGCCTGCATGCCAGGGGTTGAGCACTCTCCAGTAGAATAATTGGAACCCTCCCCTATTATGTTTGCATGCATAACATAACATGCTGAATCACTTATTACGTGATAATTATTTCTGTAGTGCGAGGGCTTCCATTTCCATAGACCAGCAAGGGAGGTGTGGAAAAAGAAACATATCTAGGCAAAGGACTACCGTGGACTGTCTTCTCCAA